GACAACCATTTAAATTCTGCAAAATGTAGGGAGTGGAAATTTATAGTCTGTAAAAAGTATTCTAGACTCCTACTTGGAAATGCAAGTGGTGGAATGCATGCATAGTTGTTTCAGAGCTGCTATAAAGTCCTTTCCTTGGGAACAGACTAAAGTGATTTTGCAAAGTGAAGAATGCCGTGTTTGGACACCAGCTTTTCTCCCTGTTCACTGTTCAAATGGAAGGCAGGGTAGATTTTAAGCTTTTGTCTTTCTGACAAGGTGCAAACTTCTGTTAGTGGAAATCACTAAAGAGCCATTAATGTCAACCGAACAAGTCTGGTTTACATATAGGCCAGGTACAGACATTAGACCTTTACCAGTATAAGTGATCAGAAACTGGTCTATACCTGTAACAGAACAGAAGTTCGGCACGCGTGCACAGGTCTGTAAATGGCAGAACCCAGTTTAAGATTTGCCCTCTCACCGAAGGCGAATATGTGTTCTGTTTGCTACCAATCTAAACTACACTGCTTACAGAAAACTGCGTAACGAAGATTGATTCTGCCTCAGGCTTTTTGAATGTCTGTACCTAGGCATAAACAAAGGGTTCATGTCCAGATCAGAGTGGATGTGCAGTATGCGGCACCGCAGCCTTTTCTGTGGTCCCATGTACCGCATATGCAGGCATTCCCTGCACTGCTACCTTACAGTGCCCAAATCTAGGTACCATTTGCATTTGAGGCTCTGGCTTGAGCTATTTAGAGGAATTTAAAGATCTCTTTGTACTTGTTTTCAAAACTTAGCATTAAAACTGATAAAGTGTGAGATCTGAACTTTGGAAGTGCTGTGTCAGTATTTTTGTCAGAGTAAGTGTGGATGTGATTTGGCTGTCAAACAGTGCCATTTACACTTCCAGCTGCTTGAACCCAGAACTCTTTTGCCACAAACGGTTTCAGGCTGGCAAATTAAAAACTTCCAACAAGTAAACTAGAACTGGAAAATTCCCACGCTGTTCTGGTTAAGTTCCCATTTAAGGGCAGATCTTAATGAAAACCAAAGCTGATATCCAATTCTGTTTTATTTAAAAAAAAAAAAAAAAAAAAAAAAGGTAAATTCAGCATTACACACACTGGGAATAGGAACACTGGAAGGTGTAGCAATAATAACATGGTATTTAATATGGGCAAAATGCTTTATAAACATTAAGTAATAATTGCTCTCAATGCTTCTATTTTATTACCTAGGAACAGAAGATCAGAAGGGTCCTCTACGAGCTTTTGAGTCTTGAGTTCTTCAGCCACCATTTGTCCTAAAACATCCACAAGGACATCCCCTCTGTCCTCAAAGCACCCAGTTTAAAAAAAAAAAAGTCCTACAATCTGTCACAGGAAGAGAACAAGAAGGCCAAGGGCACCGTCAATGCCTCACTGCTGAGGAGGCTGAAGCAGCAAGTGCATCTGGTTAGAGAAAGAGCCAGTCAGTGGCAAAGGCAAAATAAGAAAGCTGGACCTCCCGATTCTCAACTCCAGATTCAAACCTACATGACTTCTCTCCCTGAAACTTCTGAACCAGCCTCTTCACTTGGTGGAAGCTGGCACTAGCTGCTAATAGTGCTGCATTTGGGATGAGTTGTTATAGTCAAGACTTATTCATTTACAGTCATTAAAGATCTTGTGGTATATTTTGTGAGGAAAGGATCCATTTGCTGGTGTCTTGCTCCCATATGGTGATATATTATTTTATTGTGATTACTTATATTCCTATTTTATGATTTTGTTGACTAAGGAGTTATTCTCTTCCTGTCTATAAAATACATTGTAGTGTTGGTTGCACCATTGTAATGCCTCTTTTCTCTTATTTATGCTTCTATGGCTCTTGCCACACTTCACAAATGGGGAGATAAGATTTTTCTGATCATTCATCTGTGGATATTTCCTTTAATTTTTCATCAAAAAAACACACAACAGAGAAAATGGTTGTAGTGTATATCTAGAGAAGGAGCTTTGTATACTGCAGTCACAGAGGCTAGAGCAGTATGTTCAGATGTAAAGGAGATACCTTGCCTCATTGTAGGATACCTAAGTACCTTTTCCATGTTTCTGATCCGTAGACTCCACAGTTTGTATTAATTCATTGTCCATGCTGGTGGAGAAGGAAGGAAAAAGACTATGTAGAGCAATGGGATTAAACAGTATTATGCCAGTTTACATTGAACACCTGCCTCCTTTTAGATAAGAGGCAAATGAGCATTGACTAATGCCAAAGTACACATTCAAAGTGTTGACCTAACTATTTAAGCTATCATCTCTCAATTCCTGAGATTTGGATGAGTGAACACTGGAACTAATCCTACTCACTGCATGTAACCTTATGCTTAAGCAGCCGTCCATAAAACAATCAACAGCCAGTTTAAAAAGTATTTTAAAAATATGTTTTATCATTATTGAATTGTTAAGGAAGATAGCATACATAAGATATCAATACATCCAATCATAAAATACATGTTCTAGTGTACAATTACTATTCAGTCAAACTGGTGTGAAAATTACATTGTCTGAGTAGGGAAGATAGAGGAAGACTAAAAAACAACAACAAAAAGACATGGCAAAAAGGTGATCCTTTGTGTCCAAGAAAAGGGAGATAAGAGTATAATTATATCTGCTGTATTTATTATTATAAGCTGTGCTGCTAATTCAGTATGACTGTCTTGTGCAGGTGCTAGCCTAATGTATTGCGTACTTTTAGCTGTGATCTCTATAATGTGAAAGTATATAGTGTCCTTCAATTCAAGCATTCAAGCCTAGCTCTTTTATAAGTTCGAAGTTCACTTACCATTGCAGGGGAGGACACGTTGTTATATGAAAGAACATAACATGAATAAAATCCCCTCCATATGTCTTTCACCACCTTCTAATCTATACCTGGCTCTCTTGGACAAAGCTGTTCCATTGTATGGGGTGGTCCATTCCTCAAAGCATGGCTTTGAGTCTGATTTTGAGTGTCTTTAATCACAATTCATTATGAAATGTGAATGTCTTCAAGCAAACGGCAAGCAAAAGGCTTCTGAGTCATATCAGAGTCTGAATATATTCTACTGGTAGGCAGGAAAAGCATAAATGCATCTGAACAATAATTTGAATAGCTCAATATCAGATAAAGCCTAGAACATGTGGAGTGTTAGCAATCAATGAGCATGCATACAATGTTTAGAAAAATCACAGTACCATATAACTGATAAATATTACTATTAACTGTACAACTATTTATAAACAGTATTAGACCTCTAGCTATTATGCCGCTGGCTGCCTTATCCTCTTCTCTACGTGCTCAGATTTGTTAGAGGCAGAAGTTGCTATCACAGCAAGATTTCAATAATGACTAGATAGATACAAATATGCTCACTTTTTGGTTAATTATTCCTGCCAATTAGGTGTTTACCCTAGATGCAATTATTGTAGGAATAAAAGCCCTTGTCCCTTGTAATCAGATGGTATGCTTTAATGGAGCTAGAACTTCATTTCACAGCTGTACCTCAATTAGAAATTGAGATCCATGAAGAAAGCACTATTGGCTAATTATGCTAATAAGGAAATTAGCCACCACCCACATGAACTGCTGGTTGAGTAACATTTCTAAATGGTACCTTATTTTATTGCAGACATAGTCAATGGGTCTATTTACTTTACTGTAGAACACTCCAGGGAGTACATATTTTTACGCACTGTTCAACCACATTCACAATCTGGATAGTCTCAGGATCCAGTCCTGCAACCTCTTGGAAGAAGTATGCAAATGACTGAGACTGTTGGATCCTCCCCTAAAAGACAGCATCTAAAATGAATGATTTTTAAAGTTTCAGTTCTGTGAATGAAAACTATTTTCCCAAGACCAGGCTTCTAATTCCATCAGGGTGCCTGACCATCCATGATTCAATCAGGAATCCATTTAGTCCAAAGCATTACTTAATACTCAATGGGAAGAAGTCAGTCCACCCTTTATGCTAAGCTTCCATTTACACATGATTTATAAAGGATTAATTTGCAGCTATTATAAGTAATTTATATCCCTGAGCATCTGTGGTAGCAAGTCATTAACACTTCTCAGAGGGAGTCTAAGTCACTGTTTTTAACAATCAGTTGGCTTGTTGGACTCCATAATGATCACCTGCAATTGACTGACTATTGATTAAACTCCTTTATTAACCACTTGTAAGGTATTTATAGGTGCAGTTTTGAGATTAATGATGGTTAGAATGTGTTTATGCTCAAATGAGGCTTGCAGAACTAAGTTACGTAAGATGAAACAAAGTCTTTCCTCATGAATGTTATTATTTCCTGGTAAATATTATTGTTTCAGATTCACTTTGATTTGATTATGGTACTTTGGCCTCAAGAGGCTATGATCTGTGTACTGGGGTCAGCTTTCCCAAGGCACCCCTGAACTGGATTTTCACCTGCTCAATATCCAAATTTGGGGCCAGATTTTCACCAAAGCTCAGCACCTACCATGTTGAGGCCATTGGATTTTTTAAGGAATTGCCACCAATAAGCCATGTTGCAGATGGTGGGCCTAGTCCTCAGTTGGTGAAAAATCTCTGTAGCACCAAGGGAGTCAATTTATACCAGTTCAGGATAAAATAGCCAATCCAAGAGTAGATTTCCTACTATCAAAACTCTATGCCATGGATGGCAATGTCCTTTAAGCATTTTCCATGGGTATCTCTGTTCTGTTCTTTCTTATTTTGCCTACATAAATCTACCTAGGATGTATAAGGGCCATTTGATTAAATGCCATTGCTTTTCATAATTTGCAACAACTTATCTTACTGTTTTATTCCATTACATTCAAATAATTATCATTATGGTGGTACTCACGCTAACAAGATGAACCTCCCCTCCATAAAGAACTTATGCTTAAAGATACGAAGGTGTCTAATTCCAGTTGATTTCATATTTCTGAGGTAGATACTGGCTAAAATGTATTTTGAGGATTTGGATCTTATCTTTTAAATAAACATGACAGGCAAAGGCAGGACAGATTAGTTGCCCAAAGACAGACAATTACAAGAGGGAGAGAACCTTGGTCTCCTGAATCATGCTCAAGTGCCTTATCTCTTAAAACTCGTTGCTGCTCTAATATCATCATGGGAGTGTAACGGTGCAATCCTTCATAGAGTCCCCAATACTGGATGTCGAATCCTCTCTGAGAGAGGTCTTTTTTAATATTATTTTTAATGGTGGTATCCCAGTGCAACTCTAAAGAACTGAAGATCTATCACTTGCAGGAAGAGTAGCAGGAAGCAGAAGGTAATCAAAGATGTATCAACCAGACCTTCAATTATAGAAGATTCTAGGCATTGTTGGGACCGAATTGTATTCATCTTGAAAATATCAAGGCCTTCAATAGAATACTTTCCTTAGCCATTGCATTAGCCACACACAGCATTAAAAATGCAAAGTAAATTCTCTAAAATCATTGTAAACTGGTGCTGTTTGCTATTCAGGCAGAAAGAAAACCTTTGTCCATATGGTCCTAATTCCTGGCAAGAATTTGCTCTTGTGCATGTTTGGCCATTGGCACGGTAATGATCCTATCTCTATGTAAACAAGCTCTTTAATGTTCACTTTTATTACACACCAAAACATTCACGAGTCATTTTTAAAATGGGAAAGAATTGATCTATAATCAGGATTGCCCCTAACTGTACCATGGTAAAGAAATTTATATGTGAACCATGTCTCAGATTTTACCTATGCTCCAAACAAAACAGAATTAACTTATTCCTAAAGTTAATTAAAAAAACCTTCATTTACATGCATAAAAAGCAAAACTAACATCCTAAAAGTAGCTATTATATGTCAGCATGTCACCTGTATTGGGAATTTCTGATCCAATTCACAGCTCATAAATGTCTAATTAAAAAAATATATTCAATGTTTTTAATTGGTTCATTGCATCATTTGTTTTTATGGTGCTTTTAAACCCTTATTCAATAGTCACAGCTTAAAACTCCCCCAATTCACAGGAAAAAAACAAGAAAGAAAAAAGATCTGGAACAATATGAAGATAAGTAGGAATTCAATAATCACTGCATGTACAGTATTGCGTAAATGGTTGGTTTCCTGTTTGAATATAAATCTTGGGTTTAGACCATCACTAAGTAGGTAAAATTTATCTATTTATTGGCTACATGCCTGAATAGTGCTGGAAAAATAGGTGTATTATTCATGAGAAAGTCAAACAAAGTTTTGCATTGAGATCAAAATTTTAAGCTGGCAGACCAAAATAGCCCAGTAGACATCCCATG